AAACAGGGCATAGGACTTGTACTGGGCTGTGTTTTACTAGCAAGTGAACATACTATGCTACCATAGACCGAATATTTGTGTCTCCCCCAAATTTATGTGTTGAAATCCTAACCTCCGCTGTGATGGAATTAGGAGGTGGGGTCTTTGGAAGGTGTTTAGGTCTTGAGGGTGGAGCCCTCATGAATGGGATTAGTGCCTTTAGAAAAGTGACCTCAGCGAGCTCCCTCTCCCCTCCTGCCATGTGAGGGCACAGTGAGCAGATGGCCATCTGTGAACCAGGAAGCAGGGCCTCACCAGGCCCTAAGTCTGCTGGCACCTTGATCGTGGACTTTCAGCCTCCAGAACTGGGAGAAATAAATGTCTGCTGTTTGTAAGTCACCAGTCTGTGGTATCCGGTTAGAATAGCCAAAATGGACTAAGACATGTGCTTTCAAAGCCAGCCCCCGAGGGCAGAGCTCCCTCCTACACTCTGGCTTCCTGGAGCAGACCTGGCTGATTCACAGGGGACCCAGCTGTCCTCTGTTTCCTGTGGATCCTGGAGAGGCAGGCTTTCGGGGGCAGATCTGGCCCGATCTCTTTCTGCTTTTCTGTTTTATCTGCAGACCAGGGAGGGTGAAGGTGTCACTCAGATTGTCTAGGGCTCCGTTTAGCCTGTTGCAAGAATAATAGAACTCACCTTGTTTCTCACTGGGTTCCTGCTCTTTATGGGTGGTTCCCTCACATGCGCTTGGTCCTTGGCCCCCAGAGGACTGCTGTGAGTTCCTGCCACAGCTCCGTTCCTCTAGATTGAGGGGCAGGGGGTTAGGGCCAAACTCTACAGTGAATATCTAGGGGACCCTTCGTCCACCGGTTCCGCTTCAAAGTCCAAGTGAGGCAGAGCCCCTGAAGGCATTATGCCCCTGGTTGGGCAGAAAGGACCAGAAGACACCTCCCTCCTGGAAACAGCTCTTTACTGACTCAGTAATACTATATCACATGATATCATATATAGACAGAATTACATGGCATTGGGGGGGGGGGCAGGTGGGAGTGCAAACCAGTTGCACATATTACAGGAAGGGAGGTGGCATTAAGGCTTTTGGAATGAGGACAGAGGCTATTCTCTGAGTCAGGGTGGGGAGGGGACAGCTCCAGACCCCCAGCCCAGGAGTGGTCGGGATCTGCCGAACACCAAGATAAGGCAGCTTTACCACAAGTTTAGCCTGTGGGCGGCCTTCACCCTGCTGGGGGAGCTTCCAGGGCTCCTTTCTGCCCTTGTGCACAGGAAGTTGGAGGTGACGAGGGATGGTGTCCTAGCGAGTCTCTTGTGGATGTTTGGGCCCTTCCCTCCTCGTCCAGTCTTCCCACCCAAGCCGAGAGGCCTCGGGCCATTCTGAGTCAGGGCAGGGTAAGGTCAGCAGGCAGCTGTGGGCAAGACAGCCGGGGACAAGAGGGGAGAGCTGCTGTCGCCAGGCTTGGCCCTCCTCCAGCCTCCACAGAGCGACCCGTCCCAGGAATGGAGCAGGTGGGCCAGCCTCAGATGGAGCAAGGGAGGCATCTTCACTCATGCCTCTGCCTCCCTTCTTCCAGCTTCCCAGCTGCTGGGCGCCACTCTGGGAGAATGTTCCAGGGCCTAGATAGTCTCCCCATGCAGATGAAGCTCCTGCTTGGATTTCTCCCAAGATGCTCCTGAGAGAAGGAGGCAAGGATGAAGTGAGGAATTTTCTGGAGACAAGAAAAAATTGCTGAACTCATGAGAGCTCGGTGCCCAGAGCCCGAGAATGTGACTCAGGTGGAGTCCCTCCGTCCCGTGTGAGCTCCCGGGACGTTGCTCCCATGGTCATGAGGAGAGCGTTCTGGTCATCAAATCCACCTTGTCCCTAGAGTTTGAACCACATCCCCTTCAAAGGTTTTCCTGGGTCTTTTCAACCGCTGGGAGCCACGGGGAACTGTTAGCTAGGCTGGTTCCGAAGAAGCTGGAGAGCCAAGTTGGTCAACAATTCAGAAATAGAGTTAAGACCTTCCTCCCAAGGTAGCCACCTCCCTGGCAGGCTCAGTCACAGGAGAGGGGGGTCTTCTCCTGCCCTCTCCTCCTGCCCAGCCAGGGACACCCAGTTGGCCCCCCTGGCCAGCAGGGAAATGTATGTGCGTGTGCGTGTGAGGGGCTGCTTTCTGTGGTACAGTCAGTACTGGGGAGCCCCGAGGTGCAGGGGCAGGCCAGGGAGAAGCCCCTTTGGGATCAAAGAACCACAACTGTCTGTAAGGGTGGCTTTCTGGGGTGGGGGCTTGCCATGCCCTGAGGCCCTTCCCGGCATTTGGTGCAGCAGTGTCTGGGCCTGGGGCCCTTAGTAGCGGCTCTGGCTTCCTGGTGGGCCTGGGGGCCCTGGGAGGCCAGGGGGCCCCTGGATCCCTGGTTCACCCTTAAGCCCCATGGGCCCCCGCTGGCCTGGTGACCCTGTTTTGCCAGCAATCCCTGGCTTTCCCTGAGGCCCTGAGGGCCCTGGAGACCCTGGGGGCCCCTCTGGCCCTGGGGGCCCCATGTCCCCTTTCGGGCCTGGCTGTCCTCTTGGGCCTCCAGTTCCAAAACTGCCCTTTGAGCCTTTGAGGCCTGGGAAACCCCGAAGGCCAACCGGTCCCCTTTCCCCCATGGGTCCTGTGTCTCCAGGCTGCCCCTGAGGACCCTGGGGTCCCGGGGGCCCCAAGCTGCCAGGGTCTCCTTTCGGTCCTCTGCTGCCACCAGGCCCTTTCGTGCCCGTGTCTCCTTTGAGTCCTCTTGGTCCGGGGGGGCCGGGGGCACCTAGGGTCAGAGAGAAGAAGGGAGAAGTCAGTCCATGACGGGCAGCTCTCACGAGGCTCTCCCACCAAGGAGACACAGCACAGGCCAGGCCACAGTGACAGCCTGAGGGTTAGCTAGACCCAAAGGCCAGGCCTGCCGCCTGCGAGCTCTGGGAGCTCGGGCCCATTATGTGACTTCCCTAAGTCAGCCGAACCACCTGTGAGGAGGGGACCCTGAGATAATGCAGGTAAGTGTCTGGCAGGAGGTCTGGGGCACCGTGAGAACTCACTGTTCTGACTTCAGGGCTTGCCCATCGTTCCCCACGTGCACTCAAGCTGGGAACTGGGAGAGCTGAACAGCTCTGGGAAAAGGCCAACACTGGCCAGGACTGTCTGTCCCGGTCTGGAGGCCGCCTGGCCTTCTGCTTGAGTCTTTGACTCAACCCCCTGCCCCGCCCTCATCTCAACCTCAGGCTTTTGCCCATGACCGTTCTGCATCTGGGGCCAGGGATGGAGTCAAGTGACACAGGGGAGGAAAACCAAAAAAGTGAGGCAGGAGAAACAGACCCCTTTGCAGGGTTAGTGTGTGGGCACAACAGCCCAGAGAAAGGATGGCTCCTCCAGGAGGCCCACCCTGACCACTCTGAGCTCCTGAGGCTGCCACTTGCTGAATCTTTCAATTGACGTGTGGAAAAAGAAGTCACCGTACCGTGAAAGCAAACCCTCAGTGCCTTTCTGGTAGACCCTGCTAGACTATGGAGCCTCTGGAAGAGACTGAGGGCCACAGCTCACAGCCCCTGCCCTGGGCATGGAGGCTGGCACATGGCAGTGAAAACTCAGAATATGCTTGAAAAGAATGATTCACCAAATAGCTGTGGACTCCTTGCTCCCACCTGGCTCTGGCCTAGCGCCTGGGGGAGAGGCCAAGATGAAGACATGGTCTGTCCTTAAAGAACCCTTCTTAGTTCCCAAGCCAGGGGTTGGAAGACTTTAATATGCTTCTGACTACGTAGATCTGAGAGTCACCAGCTCCCAGAGCTGTACAAACCCTCAGGGCACAAAGCAGAGTGTGGCCGTTGCTCTGCCCCAAGGCATCTCTGAATTCCTGGAGGAAAGGGGACTCGTTGGCCTCATGAGGATCATGCAGCAAAGGCACAGCAGAGACCTGGCTTTTTTCAGTGGTCTCAGCAAAGGGTACTGGTACAGAATTCTCCCTGAGAATTCTGCTGCTGCATCATTCTTGCAAAAGACTTCTGGCATTTTCAAGCTAGGTGAGAGCCAGTCCAATTCCTGCCTTTCACAGAGGAGGCAACTAACACCCAGAGAGGTGAAGCAGTCCCCTCAGGGGCCCCTGAGCAGAAACCAGAACCCAGGTGGGCCTCTCAGAGAGGAGGGATCCTGCAGCCTGGAGCAGGGAGCCCTGCCAGTGGCCATGACCCAGGTCTGCGGTGTCCGGGCTCTGCCCCAGCTAATGAAGATG